TAAATTATATTAAACTGAATAATTCATAAAATAATATCAATAATATAATATTGGTAACAATCATTTACTAATATTATTAAAATCTCAAATTCCTAACTGCAGTTCCTGCTCGCCCTCGCACAACCGGTTTCCTTTCCCGTTTCCAAGGCACGTGCCATAATCTTTGTTCCTTCGTGCATAACGATAATTTCGCAAAATTTTTTTATAATATTTCATGAGACGTATGTAATATCAAGATATATATATATATACATTGGTATTCCAATTTATTATGTTTATTCGGATCGTTTTAAATCCATTTCGAATTTCGATTATATTCGCACGTTCAAAAAAAAAAAAAAAAAAAAAAAGAAAAGAAAAAAGAACACCAATGATACACAATAAAAATTCAGATGACAATTATAAGAAAGAAACACTTGCACTTGTCCAAGTTTTCGTCACTGATCTCACATTTTTTTCCTGATCTTTCTTCATCCCTTCTTTACTTTCTCTCCTTTCTCTCTTTTTCTTCCTTTTTTTTCTTAGAAACGTACTTTTTACCCCACTTACCTGTCAACGACGGAGGTAGAGGAGTAACAGCACGATGAATGGATTGACAACACACAAGCTTTATCTTGGCCGGCCGGTTCTTCATTCTCTTATATAGCGTGTCTCGCTGAAAGTTACCTCCACCAAGTAATAAGTTGGGTTTACTTTGGGGTAGTGGGAGACACTGATGTATATTGTAAAACAGAGATGTTATTGACAATTTTTGGTTCCATGAACCAAAGATGATCATGAAAAAATAATTAGAATAATATAATATATAAATAGTGTTCATGTAATAATATAAGAGCATAATAGTAGTAGACTGTGATAATTGCGTAGATTGATAGATGAAGTTGTCTTAATGATGTAATTAAATAATAACATGCAATTTATTTCAAATCTAAATGAACTGATATGTAATTGAAATAATTCTGATAAAAACTTTCTAAAGAACTTTTGAAAGAAAGAATTGAAATAAAAATGCAATGTTTCAGAATTGTGCTTAATAAAGAAAAGTTTGGATTTTAAGAATTTCAGAGAAGAATAGTTTACTTTTACTATTTATTTGCTTGTTAAAAATCTTTTCTTTCTGACTTTCTATTTTCATTTAATCATTTAATAAACTGTTTTAATTTTATTTGTAAAAAAAATTTCTTTCATCCAACTTTCATCCAATTTCTTTTGTCCATTCATTTTACAAAATGGAAAGAAGGTACAGAAATCTCAAGTGATATTTTAATTCTATTTTATGATTAAAAAGTTTTTCGAAACATGTTTCATGAGATAGCTTCAACTTATAAAATATATGACATGCAAATCGTAAAAAATCGAAGGTAATCTTAATTATATTAAACATAGAATTTTCGAATTTCGAATATTCGAATGTACGTATAACAAAGCAAACATTGTAGTATAAACAATATGCAGATGAAATACAACAATAAGTATTTACAATTCTATAAAATGAAGAAGAAAAGTTGTCATCAAGTTTGAAAATTTTAAATGAAATTCCTTATAATTTCTTTTTTTTTTTCTTTTATATAAATGTCGACAACTTATCAATAGAAATGGAAAGATAGAAAAGCAAATAAAGTAGTAAATTATTGGCAATATATACATATTTGTACATTAATAAATATTTTTTCGTGACTAATGAGATTTTAACGAAGCATCGGAAGAAAAAGCAACAAATTGATTGCACGGTTGAATGCAATTCTTACATCACCGATAGCTAAAGTCTTTTGATATTTTTTATCTCCATATACATAAGACTTCACACCGGATCGTTTCCGTGAAGTACTTTCAATACCAATGGGATCCCAATGAAATCGAATGAATTGACTTTCAACCACGCACTACATGAAAATTTCTTTTCAATAGTAGGTCGGTTGTATTTCGACGTCAAATTTTACAATGTTGGCTTTATTTGCATTCAATAAACGTGACTTTAATTCTGATATACAACAATGAACATTTTATTTTCAACATATAACTCATAAGTCTTATTTCGTTCATTTTTGTTCTACATACATTCCATTTCATTCTTTCATTTCTTTACAGTTATGATAATTTTTATGATAATTTTATGATATAATATAATATATTATAAAATTTTATTATAAATAATATAATATTATATGATAATTATTTTCTTCTTCTTCTTTTTCTTTTCTTTATAGTTATGATAATTTTTGAAAAATTTTAAAGCTAAAGATCGACGTATTAATGAATTAACGTTACTTTTCGCATATAACTTAATCTATTTTCTGTTGCATTTTTAAATTTGCTTGCACATTACCGTATACATAAGTTTTAATTGCTTTTCGTTTAAATCGTATATTGTACATTGTGCTACTAAAATGTTGAAAGTAGGTGGATCTGTACTTAATTTGATAGCCTTTCACGCAGAATGCTATTATATCTTAATCGTACTTACAAAAAATATTGCATTCTTTTTTATACTTGTTTATTCTTATTTTAATAAAAAAAATTCAATTTATTATACCATATTGTACCAAGATATTGATCCAACGTAATGTTATGTAATAATATTACAAAATATTAATATTGTATAATGCAATTTATCGTATAAACGAATCATTTTAACATTTTATTAACTGATTCAATTAACCGATCGAGAATGCTGGACCGGAAGAGAAAAATTCACATCCGCTAAGAAACTTTCGATCTCTTTTCTTCATTTTCTTGATTCTTTGGGAGCGTAAATTGTCGCTCCTCTTCGTGGAATTCAACGCACTGTCTAGCGTGTAATTTATTGAAATTGTATGGAAATGGATCGCGTGGACTTTCTTTCTTTCAGAGACGTCCATCGAAGGTCATTGTTTTCACTTGACGGAAATCGAGGGAGTGATTACTTTCGATTGAAGCCATCGACAAGATCGTTCCAAGATTCGACTGTCATTCACTTTCTTCACCTCTCTTTGTTCTTTGTATTGTGATTTTTCCTTTTCTTCGAAACACGTAGCCTTTAACGTACAATTAACTGTATATTGATATCTATATATTTCTATCTAAATAAAACATAAAAATCAATATTAATTTTGTCAAAAATATCTTCGTGTATTTATTATATATTTTTGTAAAAAACAAAAATTAGCAAAGAAAGATACCCTTGTTTTTATAAGCTATGACAAAACAAAATGTCAATAACAAAGATCTTGTTTATAATTAATTATATAATTCTGCAGCATTATGCAATCAATCATTCAATTCATCAAACAATTAATATCGCGTATTTTTGAATTTGTCCCTCGAGTAAAACAAGTTCCACCTACGCATTCGGCATTACTTTGTCCGATCAAACTTTCAATATATAATATACCGAACGGTTAACTGTTTGTTTCCTCCTATATACTTCAAACCTCGGTGCGTTCGTTTCTTAGAAAATTGACCTCGTCGAAGAGAATTGACTTTTTTCAGATATCGAACCGGTTTCTACTAACTGCAATTGAATTTAGATCGCGAGCTTAAAGAATAAAATGCATTCTTATATAGATGATTAACGTGTATTTAATCATATCATATATGTCATTATAGTTAAATAATGTATTAATTATGTCTTCATTGTTTTCAATAATCGTTCCTTTTCATCATTAACTCATAGCCTTTTCATATAACTCATCATTAAATATTTAATCTTAAATCTTTAATTTTCATATGGTTAAAATTTAATTATAATTCATTTCTTCACAATGTAAAATGTGAAACAAAAGTATATAAATGTCATCATGAATGTTTAATAATTGAAAAATAATTTATGATTATTATATTTTTCTATTGATTAATATGATTTTAACGAATAAATATAATTACTTGCTCGACGATTTTATCATAATGACAATACGATTTGTATTATATCATAAATTACTGTTTTTTCGAGAAAAATTTCTCTTATTATATAGAAAAGTGATATTGATTAGATTAACAGATATTTGGATGTTTTAAACGTATATAAGTATAAGAAATACTTTCACCAGTTGTCAGATCTATAGGAGAAAGTGTGTTCGCCCTCCGTTTCGCCCCTGTAGTAAGCAAATGGACCATTAAAGAAGAAAATAAGGAAAACGAGATGAAAATTGTAATTAATAATAATAATAAAACGGAAGTATACTTATTGTTTAATGTTAATGGAACTTGTTTCATTTTGTTTAATTTTGTCAACTCCTTTTCATATTCTATTTTACATAATAATGATTAGGTAAATGATCGCCATCTTATAGACATATAGATAATATTCTTTCCATTCACGAGATTAACTTACGTTAACACTTTGTGATAATTCTACAAATATAAAGAATTGAAATCGTGCATTATTTTATTAGTTTCGAAATTTATTTTTTAAGAAATATATTGGAATTTTTTTCTAATTTATCATGGGTTTTGTAGTTGAGTAAACAAAATTACATTATGAGGAAAAAAATCTTATGTTTCTTTTTCTTTTTAGAATTGTTTTATAAATTAATTGCAATAATGTATTTTGACCAATATTTTGAAAAGATTTAAAGAAAAAATGAAATTTATTAATATATATTAAAGTTGAATTTTTTAAATGAAAAAAATTTTCTTAATTTTTTTAAAAAAATTATATATATAATATATATTGTCTATTAACTATAATGATTAATAAAATATTTGCATAACTGTATTGAATTTTATTAGAAGTTTATATAAATACATTTTATATATATTAATTGAGAAATAATTTTTAAAATATAATAATAAATAAAATATAAGTAATTTTCTTTAATACTTATTATATCTATTTTTTTAAATATTTTATATTTATTTACATATTTAAACAAAATTAAAATTAAAATTTTATATAATATTATTAAAATAACAAATTAGACTAAGAGGATGCGAGGAATTCATGGAAATGTTTTTTTATCTACAAATGTGTAGTATAGTATTGCATATCATAAAAATATCATAATAATAGAATCCATATTGAATAGATTTTGTCAAATTTTGATATTTTATACATATATTTCTATGCAATATTAATCATGATTTCACATTATACTCTTTTTATTGGTAAAAATATTTTTACTAAAGTAAAAAACATCAGTCATTTCTCAGTCAATGCTTTTAGTGCCTCATCGATCAACGATGTGCCGGAACTATTGGAAATAATAAACGAATGTTTTTTATAATTTTGTAATAGTAATCCGGTATTCATTCACTGTCGACAGTGTAACATTTCTTAATTAATTTTTTATGTTCATCATACATAATTGAAGAAATTATTTATCATATTTTTGTACATCTTTCAATAAACAATATTGTTTAAATAGAACTGAAATTTACATTATATACGACATACAGAAACCAAAGATACACTTACTAATTAAATAAATAAGTAAGGTAAAGTATAAAATTTTTCTATAAATATTTTTTGGAATCTGTATTGTCGTTTGCTATGTTAATTAATGAAGACTAGAATATATTTTCTAAATAATTTAAGAATATTAATTAAGTATTATACAATTTTGTAATGTTTCAAAACAAGTATCTTGTAATAACATGATCCAGATTTTTCGTAATTTTAAATACATCAACAATATATGTATAGTAATATCATACATTTTAATGACGCAACTTTGGTCACGTGGTCTCAGATATTTTGCGAGATCGAATAGTTTTTTTATGTTTCACTGGTTCCGTTGCACTATCATTATCAGATATTGAAGAATCTCTTAACGTTTTTCTTCCGCGTCCCACATTTCTTTCTTCATTTTCAGATCCAATAGATTCTCTATTTGATTTTCGTCTTTGACGTTGTGGAATTTGATTCTGAACTTCCATAGCTTCGCGGATATGTTTTCGTTTTGCTTCCCAAAACATTTCTTGTCTTTGTGTAATTTCAGGATATCTATTAAAAAATTTAATAAATGTTATTTAGTAGTAAATTTAGTAAATTTAATATTTTTCATTCTCATTCATAATAATATAAAATTATTGATACCTTTCAGTAAACTCCTTAGTAGATGGAATAATTAAATGCCATCCTTTTTTAGGTTCATGTACTGCTAAATTTGTGAATATTTCTTTAATTTCGTCAGGAGGTAATTTAATAACAGAAGAAATTGTTTTCCTATCTAGGAATTCATGTTCCGTGAATGATAATAACTGAAATTATATAATAACAATATATATATTATATATTATATATATATATAATATATAAAAATTATTATTGTTAATAT